ATGACCATCATTAATATTCATTGAACTATGTTTTTGATGACTGTTGACCAGTGAGTAGATTCTTTGTACATCTCTTGCACAAATATTCTGCCAACTTTAACTGAATCCGTGCTTACATACAGGACACTAACAGGTTATTGCTTATGACATTCTCACAGTTGGGACAAACCTATGGCGATGAATAGAGGGGGTACACACTAGGAAAGATAATGGAAGCTTCCTATGAAAATTATCCACTATGCCAGCCTAAAATGCCAGTTGAGAGTCTAGATTTTTAGATCAATCCCTATAAACTAGTCTTTATATTAAATCTAAAAATATCTAATATTTTATGCTCTTACAATATCACATCTTGACTCACCATAAACTTCAAAATTGCCAAAAAAAACCCAGTCTTTAAAGATTTTGCAGGCAGTTTATCTGTATCTGAAAACTCTTACTTCAGCTGTTTCAAGATAACAGCGTGTAAAACAGCAACTGAAGCAGAAAGAACAGAGACTCATATCACACACATATCATATGCTCAGTGGCTTACAGTAAAAATAACTCATGCATGAATTCATAGACACATAGGGACTGGTTAAGCTGCTGACAAGCTAACTTTCACATGCTAAGATGTGACAATCATCCTGATTTTATTGCATATTTATTCATATGTATCCACTGAAACCTGGTTTAAACAGAAACCAAGATACATTTCTGGGTATTCTTATGATTATTACAGTAAGTAGTATTATTGCTCCTTTCATACGAAATGGAGTGGATAGGATATAAGACTGTCGTGCAAAGCCGAGCTGCCTTTGCCTTGGGTTGCCAGGTGAAACCTTTCAGCACACAGACTGTGAAGAGGGAAAGCAGGGTAGTATTTGCTGTGCCTGCAAGACGGGCAGGAAGTGCTGCCCACGCCTGTCTATCCCTGCCCACACCAAGGCAACATTTACTCGTCAGCATAAGATAATGTCAGGATGACTTTGATTTCGGTAACAAGCAATGACAATCATCATAATATGATTTCAAGGCCTTTGATGTACTGTTTATATTCACCCACCTAATTTCAGTTTGAATTACTTAGATTTCATGATTATGAGAAAAAAAGAAATAGAAAAATGCGAAGTTACGTCCTTCCAGGGACACAGTGGGTAAGGTTTTTCACCGTGGCCGACAGAAGGGGCTCATCATTCCCAGTGGAGTTCAAATCTGACATGAGGAGAAATTGCTTGACCTCACACACTGACCTGTAAGTATTGCTAGAAGGTGCAAGCCAGGGCAGTCCCCAAGCTGTTACCATATCTGAAGCTAAGCTGCCTCTGATTCTCTGACATCTACCTGATCTGCCATATCAGCAAGGAAATAAGTGTAGTGGGGATTTATCTCAGCTGAATCTAGTGGCTACAAATGAGTATTTAAAGATACAACACATAGACATCAAAATAGAGGTGATGACAGAGATTAGGTTTTCTCTTCCACAAGTAAAATCAACAGCAGCCCTGCTCTCCTAATGAAACAGAAGAGGGTGTGAATGCTGCCTTTCTAGTCTCGTAGCCACACGGCAGGTTCACTTCAACCTGTAATGTGTGTGACACTGGTGAAGCAGATGCCATCTAAGTCCAGAACAAGTGCTATGAAGAAAACCTTTAACAATACCTATATGATATTTCTGAAGAAACAGATAGTGGTATCCCGAGAGCAAGGTAATGACAAAAGTAGATTCAATGTTAACACCTTTCTTCAATCTTATTGTACCTGTCTCAGGAGAAAACACAACTCACCAGAGCCTGTGTTTTTTTAAATCATATGGCAAATCCTACCCAGTGCCCTTGCTTCCCTATCTGGTGACTATCTGAGGTGCAAAGCTGTTTCCCATTGGGCATTTTTTCAAAACTGGCACTGTAGAAGCTGTGTCCAGCACACAGTGTATTCAGGGTTTAATGAGACATTTAGGCATTCCAGTAACAGAAAGTAAAATAGGAAAGTGCCCAGCATCGAAAAGGCTCATCTTTTCTTCTAAGAAAAGTTAAAATTATTGTTTAAAAATAATCAGAGGAGAAATCTGGCTGAGCTTCATTTTCACTTTTACTTCCAAATTTCTCCTAAAAAAAATCTGTTGAGTCATCAGTTCAAACTTCTTACTGTCATATAGCATAACATAACAGGTCATGTGTTTTTTTACCTGACTTATTTATGGGGTTTTACATAGACTGAGCGTTAGAACTCTCTTCTGTGACGTAATGTTGATTTACTATTGGTGTTAGGTTTTTTTTTTTTTCCTTTTGATTTAGCTTCAACTTCTTAGTGCTTTTGTGATGTGAAATATCTTCCATATACTGGTTGTATTACTGGTGATAATTTCCAGTTTAAGATGTTGGAAAGTTTGGAAAAGAGATACAGGCATGTAATGATGTCTCCATCTGAAAGATGACTGTTTAAACATAAGATTGCATGTATAGTTTTTATTCAAATTCCCACAAGATATTTGAAACCAAGCACCATTCCTGAGACTGGAAGAGTTAATAAAGACATTCTTAAACAAAAATTCCTTGAGCAGCAGTAAGTCCAAAAGTAAAGTGTATCAAAGGCACTCACATAACCTCTTCACAATGGTAAACCACGTTTCATGACAGCACAGTTCTCAGTAACTTCACAACACGGTATCTGAAGAGGCAGAGCTTTCCATTGCTGCAGTGCCGATAAATCCCCATGAGTTTACTGTTCATCCTAAAGCTAAAGTGCTGTAACTTTCCTTTCAAGTCCCCAAAAACAGATGCAAAAAGTGCAAATTACGGCATGTGAGATGAAGAGTTTTCACAGACCCACACTTCCACTGTCTCTTGAAGCTGTGACTGTTGACATGTATAAAGCCTCAGTTTGCAAGTTAAAATCATCTCCTTAAAGAAAGAAAATGGAATAATGTTATTTTTAAAATCTGCAATAATGGAAGCTAATAAATAGCCTGATTTTAACAACTGAGCGGTAAGAGTCAGAGCCTTATCTTCACCACATGCAAGCTTTTCTGGGCCATGGTGAAGTTAGAATGGCTCCTCAAAGCTGCCACAAAGACATCCTGCTGCAATCTTTTCAAAGCGAAGAATCTCTGTATCTCTCCTCTGTGGTCCAAATTCTGAATTTTCTATTATATTAAAGCTACCACAGACTATCAGCCATATAAATTAAATAACAGACATGCTTGTTAGTAAACTCTGTGCAGCTGAATAAAAATATGCAGAACTGGGACTTCAGTGCTGAGGTCAAATGCCCTATATCTTCAGTGCTGATACAACTCGAGCTGTAAATTAAAATGCTAAGGTGAGCAATCCTTTTTCCTGTAACCAGGGCCATGTGGGTCATTTCCAAAGCTCTCTGGTAAAGTGTCTGCGGCTTTTAGGCTTCACCTACCTACTCATCATGGAAAAAAGGTTCTTTCCAGCATTTCTTAAAAATACATGATGCTGAGAAATACAAATGTTTGTCATATGACTTACTGCATGTTGCACAATAATTTTCGGTCATTAAAATGAAGAAGTTAAACAAAACCACAAAAAGCAGCTAGCTCTCCTTTGATTTCTTCATTTCAGTAAGCGCACAGAGGAGGCTAGGGCCTACAGAGTGAAAAAAATTTCACTTTTTAATACAAAAAGCCACAGGAAGCCACACTGTGCTCAGACAATGTGCATTGGAGTTGTGTCCAGACATGCACCAGTGCTGTCCTCCAGACTGCTGCTTGCCTTGAGCTTTTCTTCGTTTGCACACGGCATAATTCCGCTGAAGTTTCATACCACCATGTGAAAAATAACAAAAGGCTTTTGACTACAGCAAGTACTGAGTTCTGAAAGGTGAAAGAGTTTTTCTGAAAGTGTCATTCTGACTGTAAGATCTACTGATGGCAGTGGATTGGACAGCTACAGGTAAGATGCAAACACTACAATCTGTGGTGATACAAGAACCAGTGAACTCATGCCCTCCATTCAACTCCAGGTTTTTATTTCCTCTACAGAAGTTATTTTTTAAGCTAGCGACTTCTTGATGTATTGTTTTTTTAGCAGTGAGAAACACCAGTGGCTTCTCAAGTAAATCCTGCCCTTGGAAAATCCCAAAGTTGCCTATGTGTCCAGAAACTGCTATGTATTATGTCTTAAGGCCTCTCAATCAACTGCATCACAATTTTGCTCCAATTTTGCTCCTTGGGAGAGAATAATTCGTACTCCTGGGCCACATTAGGCAGCCTTGGGGCTGGTCTCAATTGGCTGTGTTAGGGTCTGCTTGGACACCAAAGAATTACAGCTGAATCCAGTACCACCATACCTAACACTGGCCACAGCCCCTCTCCTGGCAATACATCAGCTTATCAGACTTTAATCTATAGGTAACAAAACTGGTTTATGTAAGTTGGTGTTTTAAGAGCTTTCTTGTCATATTTCTTCATCGTTTTCTATGGTGTTTTATTTCTTCAGTTCAGTTTTAGTACAAGACAGCATCCTGATACTTTTTTAGGCATTACCTTCCCTCCGCAGTGTAAAAATTCCTGAATGTCTAGGAAAGTCAGTCATAAGATGAAAAGTGGCTCAGGGGATGATCTAATATTCCAGACAAAATAGGTGTCATTTTATGTGTTGTTAAAACCTGTGGCCTGAGGCAAAAGTATAACAGGCTACTACCACAAAATTCTCAATGCTTACTAAACCAACCTGCTTTCTGTGTGTACCTGGCTCAGCCAAGGCTACTACAACTGCAGTTAGTATACAGAGTTGTATACTGAGCTATATATGTGAGCTACCTGTACCTTGGTGAAAGGGAACAAACATTCCTAAACTTTTACATTGCCTGTGAGAAAGACATGACATAGGATACTACACATTTAGAAAATCAAAAAGTTGAATTCAAATTCAGAACTAGACTCTCTTTTGATGTAACATTATTTAAGTTGCCATCTACAGATTTACAAATAGTCCAGCTGTAAGAAAGAAAAAGCTGTAAGCATTAATGTAGAAAACCCTGTGACTTACTGTTCTCATCTTTCAGGCTAGGGTTCAGTTTTCTGTTCCTGTCTGTTAAAGTAAATATATACAAATTTAGCATAAACTTTTCTAGATTTGAAAGAAACAATACAGTTCAACAAACTTTTAGATTAAACTGATCTTTAAGCATATTTACGTTTATGATTAACTCATACCAAACACAAAGTTCTCTATATTTCTTTTCTTTTACAAATTTTGAACTGAACTCTGAAGTCCTTAATAGCAAGACTTTCATTTCCTGACAGTAAATACTTTACTGGATTCTATTCATATGCAAGAGAAGACTATATTAATAGCTTGTTTGCTTTATCACTGTTCCACTATTGCACTTGCAAAACAAATAAAGAAACAAGATTTGTAACTGTCCAGTACAGCATACCATCATAGTTACATATCCTTAATGGAGATTGAAAATAAAAGTTCTGCATCGTATGCTCTAGCTACAATATCTTTGTAGCTGTGAATTAAAACACCATTCAAACTATGTTTTCACAGCCCACCTTACCCAAGCCAAAGCTTGTGTTCTTTACAGACTAGTAGTTGGTCAGATTAAAAAAAAATAATAAATCTTCCCATATACCTTGTCTAATGTAAGTTATAGGGTGAGGAAACAAAACCCAGCTCAAAAGATCCAAGATCTCATCTCAGAACAGAGCGCATCTAGAGGTAAAATGTGATGAAAGTCACGAGCAGGCGTAGAGTTATTAAAATTTCCAAAATGTTGTTCTCAGGAAGAACAAAGAACAAGTGAAAAGATCCACTCTTTGAATTAAGATGTACCTTTTTGAGGTTGTGCATTCTTGAATGATTTTCTCTTTCGAAAGATTATGAGTGCAGAGGGAAGGACAGCTGCCATCACACATATGGGGACAATATAAAAAATCAGGGATTTTTGTCCACTATACTGTGTACTCAATAAAGCTGTCAAAAACATGAAAAGAAAGTAAATTTACAAATTAAAAAAAGGCATTGTTTATGAATTTAGCAGTATTGATTCTCCAAAATCTTGCTCTGACTGAACAAAAGATTCTTAAAGTTCATCAACATAGTGATTTTACACTCATTTTATGAATACTTTATTCGAAATACTACAGTAAGACACTTTACTAAAAATGAGTTGAACCTCTTGTTTGCATGACATTGAGTGCGCACTACTGCAATTCATCTGTATCCCATTTGAAGAACAATTTTTTAGGGGTACAGATCAGGTAAGACACCCATGTGGATTTAAGAATTTTCTCTGTACTGGCAGCCAAATAATGGGAGCCACCCTAAAATTAAAATATACAGTTAAATGACAGACTGGCTTGTTGGAGTCCAAGCTAGCTGAAGCTTCAAAGGCCTAAATAATACTGACTTGTTTCTCTTCCAGAGCATCAATTTTACACTTTTTTCCTAGAGCCAAATTCCAGTGATGGATCATAAGGCACGTTGTGTGTACAAACACTCTGTCTTGTACAAGTTGGAGGTGATACAAACCTGAAATGAAAATGTGAGCTGAAGTTTCTCCATTCAGTTCTTTATTCCAGAACACACAACTGTAGTTTGTATTCGTATTTGGTTTGAATGTCAGGATGCTGGTGACATTGTAGAGGCCTTCTGTAGTCACTGTATAGGTGGTATTTGCAAATCCACTGAGATTGAAGTTCTCATTTTGCCAGAAAACTTCTGCCAGAGGAAAGCCTTCTGACTGGCATATAAAAACAAACTTGTCTTCACTTGGTTTTCTCATAACTTGAGTGTTTATCCTCTTGTAGGATGCTGCATATGAAATTCAGTGAAATTACACAACAGTCGTTTTCCCACTTCAATTTCCCTCCTTCCCTTTAATGACATATTTTGTCTACGGCTGTATCTGAGATACACTTATCTGAAATTATGAAGGATGTTTTTAGAACAATTTAATATTCATTATTCAATCCTTCTCACTTCAGTGACAGATCTTACTCAAGTACTTCATACAACGCAGCTACTGACACTGAGTTTATAGATCATCAACACAGAGGAAACACATGAAGCCTCATGGGACTCTGTTTTCACTTTTTGAATATGTCACTTCAAGAAAAAAACAGCTGGCTTTACTGTTTTTCTTTCCATTGTTTTTACATGAGTGTGATATTTTCACCATATTAGAACAAAATGGACTTAGAATTTCTTTGAGGGCAGTTCAGAAGAACCAACGTGAGTCTTACAAATGGTTGTATCCATTTCTGCATTGGGAAAAGCTCATTATTTAAATGCCTAGGTTAGAAATGAGTGCTGCTTTATATCACACAGACATACTGCCAGTAGTGGGAAACACCAGAGGCCTTGCAAAGGACTGCTCTATCATGTAACACACAACTCTATTACTAATGTCCATTTGGCATTGGTGGATGGAAGCAATCACGTGTCCTTGCTCTGGGAGCTGCAGTCACTCGGGGAATTCCCAGCCACTTGGGTAGTTGCAGCAGGGCTTGTAAGTAAATTAAAGCACCTCTGAGAGGCTTTTGGGAATGGTCAAAGGTGGATCAACAGGGCAGGGGGTCAAATGAGAGATGGGGGGGCAGAGGCACTGGAGAAGAGGGTATGGTAAGAAGGAGAGGTGAAGGATGGAAGAGGAGCAGTTGCTCTCCCTCTCTGGCAAAGTCTGCTCCTAGAGGAGCTCATCTGGCTGTTGAATGAATGACTAGCCACCACTAAGCTGCTTTGGTTCACCTTGGGGGCTGAGTCCATGGGTCTTGTTGAGAGAATGAGCAACAAATTGCTTGAAATGAATCAATTTCTACAAGCTTGTAGGAATTTAGTAGAGACATCTCAATAAATATATACTTACATTCAAGTCAGCCACTAACCTTTCACTTCCAATGTAATGTACTTGTAGTCCACACCCTGGTAGTCAATGAGACAAAGGTATGATCCTGCATCTGTGATCTTCACACTGGTGATCTGAAGGATAGCTCGGCCCAGTTTCAGTTCACTGTGCAGAAGCATTGCTCTTCCTGTGTAATCGTGATGCTGGGATAGAAGGAATGCCTTCCCATTGCGGAGTGTGTATACCTCTCTCGATTTCGACTGACCCTGCCTTTTTTGCTCCCAAGCTACCATCAGGAGTCCTAGGTTTAATGAGCCATTCACAGGAAATCTGCATTCCATGGTCACATTGCTCCCGTACTCCACAATGTATCGCTGTTGAGGAACTTCAACTGTAAATAAGGCTATGGTAGGAAAAAAATAGTTTACCATTTTGGAGTGTATTGTTAAAGGGAAGTTATTTATGATACATTGTTCAATATACCTTGTTACTACTTTCTATATTGGATGTACCCTATTTGGTAGATTTAATTCAGAAGCACCTGGAATTATTGATAGTCACATTCAAAAGAGAAGTTCATGCAACTGTTTGTGTGTTCCTTTAATTTATTTGTGAAATACTTACAGGGAAAGCTTCAATTCCTCTTAACAATGTTTGTTTATTCACTTTAATACAACTGTAACAAGGGAAAAAATAAGAAGAAAAAAGTGCCAAGCCCCTTCCGGGTTTTAGCCAAGCTGCTCCTGCTGCAGCCATGGACAGGGCAATACATGTGGTTTTACTTCACTCTGCCTTGCACTGAGGTGGTTCTACTTTTAAATTATTGGCTTAGGTTGATTTGGTCATGCTCCCTCTCATAGCCACACCTACTAACTAGTGCTGGGTGCTTCAGCTGTTAATACACTATGCTTTAAAGAAGTCTGATTGTGGAAGATGATGGATGACTGCCTTGTGCTCAGTTACTACACAGTGCCTTCTGTCAGACGTTGCAAAGTAGAGGCTCCAGTATACAAGTGTTGCCAGAAGTGCTGAAGCTCATGTACTGAGGGTGTAGCGGTGTTTGCTGTGTTGGTTCTGCTGGTGGAACTGAAAGGCAGTTTCTCACCTGAGACCACAGAGAGCTGCGTTTCCAGCAACAGCATTGTGAAGAACTGGAACATTGTCTCAGATGGATCTGAAACAAAATTAAGACTGCATTAGGAGACTACCTTCTCCTGCTGAGGTATATTAGAGCCATGCTAGCCTTCATAACCATTGCAGCTAAAAATCAGAAAAAAATATAAACAAACACTAGGCTACCACTAGAAACAAGGAAAATGATGGTTAAAACAATCCATGCATAGACATGGAATATGAAACACTGACCCATGGCAATGAAGAGAAATAAAACCTTTCCACAACTTTATGCAGGAGGCTTTCATGATCTGTTGCTCGCAGGCAGTCTTAAATAATCTGGCAGGGCAGCATCACTTTCACAACAATGCCACATTGAAACCCTACCCATGAGTAACAAATATCAGTTGCAGTTGGATTCTCACATGTGGGAGAGATTCATAAATGTGCACAGACTTTTTAACTGTCTACACTAACACGTGATCCAGTTTATAAGTTCACTAACCTTGATTTTGTTTTAACTCAGCTTTGCAAACTTTTTTGAAGATACTTACTGTCTGAGAGCTCACAACTGTAAAGTGGATGGCTCACAGCTCTCAAATGGATGGCCCATGAGACAGGAGCCAGGGAGACAAAGCCCCTCCCACAGTCAGCAAGGACAAGGTTCACAAATACCTGAAGAACCTTAACATACACAAGTCCATGGGGCCTGATGAGGTGCACCCCAGATTACTGAAGGAATTGGCCAGCGCCGTTGCCAAAGAGGAAATGATTTGGCCAGTGCAGTAAAAAAGCCACTCTCGATAATATTTGAAAAGTCCTGGCAGTCAGGTGACGTCCCTAGTTACTGGAAGAAAGGAAGCATCAATCCTATTTTCAAAAAGGGTGAAAAGGAAGACGCTGGGAACTACCACCCTGTCAGCCTCACCTCTGTGCCTGGGGAGATCATGGAACAGACCCTACTAGAAGAAATGCTAAGGCACATGGAGGACAAGTAGGTGATTCAAGAGAGTCAGCATGGCTTTACCAGGGGCAAGTCCTGCCTGGCCAATCTGGTGGCTTCCTATAATGAAACAACTGCACTGGTGGACAAGGGAAGAGCTGTGGACGTCATCTATCTTGACTTTGCTAAGGCCTTTGACACTGTCCCCCACAGTATCCTCCTTTCCAGGTGAGAGAGATACGGGTTCAATGGGTGGGCTGTCCAGTGGATAAGAAACTGGCTGGACGGCCACACCCAGAGAGTGATGGTGAATGGCTCGACGTCTAGCTGGGCAAAAGTGACAAGTGGTGTCCCTCAAGGGTCCATAATGGGACCAGTGTTGTTTGACATCTTCATCAATGACACAGACAGTGGCAGCGAGTGCACCCTCAGCAAGTTTGCGGACGATACTAGGCTGGGTGGTTGGCCAATGACTGGGCCTATCAGGAATGACACAGCCAGCAGGAAGATAAACCAGTAAGTGGACTGTATTGAGTATAGAAAGCGCATTCCATGAATGACCACTGGGGGTACAAACAAGTCAATCAGTTCACAAGCAATTGACATTACCCCCAATGATCCCAACAAACACATCACCCGACCGACAATGGGTGGAATAAACAA